CTATTCATGTTTCTAACCACATCTTATATTTTTAGATTGTTTGTGACAATTTTCAAAATTATGAAAAAAATAAAGTAAGATTTTGAAATGAGAAAAAAAAATGTGCTGCGGCATCAACTTTTGTAAACAAATTGACACAAAACTCTATTATCGGTAATTTGTTAGTGTTTGCTGTAAAAATGATGACACAATAAAAAAAGTTATTTCTTTGGTAACATAGGTACACCTAAATGTATATTTCTGATTGCTACTCTGTCAGTCTAATGACTATCAATTTTTATAGACAATGGGTTACCGGTAAATCATTACAATAGTGAATCATTAGCATTCAACAAGCTTTGAGCCAATGGGAATTTCGGAAAACTTTTTATTAAAAAAGTGAATTAATGTTCATGCAATCAAAAGATAAATATTGTGGTTATTTCTAAACTGCTTTTTCAAATTTGAGCAGTACACAGCAATTTCTTTCCCAGGAAATGTTCTCAGCACTACTGTAGCAGGATTCCTTTTGATATACTGACTATTTATCTATTACTTTCTTTGTAGCAGGCAGTTGAAAAGGGTTGTTCATTGTGCAAATGTGGGAGAGATGTGTCAAATCTAATTCAAGATAGAGATAAGTCATCCCATAAACACGATAGAGACGAATCTTCAACTGATCATGATGGAGTGAGATCAACGCATGATCAATCCCATGACATAACATCACATGATTGTGGCAGAGATAGGGCACATGATAGTAGAAGAGATAGGTCATCATATGATTCAGGGAGAGAAAAATCTTCCTTTGAACGTGTCAAAGATAGGTCACCATCTGATCACAGTAGAGATAAATCATCACATGACCATGGAATCTCCTGCAATCGAACCAGAGATAGATTATCTCTTGACAGAGATAGATCCCCCCTTGGTCATAGCAGTGACAGAACATCTCAAGATGACTGGTATGATGACAATGATCGAGGTTGGCACTACAGAGATATAGAAAAATACAGTTCTAAAGATAGAGACCATTACAATTCTCGAGACAGAGATCGTTACAGTTCTAGAGATAGAGACCGTTACAGTTTTATAGATAGAGATAGAGACCGTTACAGTTCTAGAGATAGAGATAGAGACCGTTACAGTTCTAGAGATAGAGACTGTTACATTTCTAGAGATAGAGACCGTTACAGTTCTAGAGATAGAGATAGAGACCGTTACAGTTCTAGAGATAGAGACCGTTACAGTTCTAGAGATAGAGATAGAGACCGTTACAGTTCTAGAGATAGAGATAGAGACCGTTACAGTTCTAGAGATAGAGACCGTTACAGTTCTAGAGATAGAGATAGAGACCGTTACAGTTCTAGAGATAGAGACCGTTACAGTTCTAGAGATAGAGATAGAGACTATTACAGTTCTAGAAGCAGTGGGAGGCACCATGCTAGAAGTGACTCAAGATATAGAGATTCAAGCAGAAGTAGAGAGAGAGAAGCATATCCTAGAAGGAGTGGTGATTTATATGGCAAAGATAGGCACGGAAAAAGGGATTATGATGATTTTCCTAAAGGACAAAGTCCTGATTCTATTGATAGTTTTAGAAGCAGAGAATTGTTGTCAGAAGGAAGTAATAATGTTAAAGAAGACCTGGCACTTTCAGAAGTATCATCACTGGACAGTTTCCAATTGAAAGACCGAAGTCCAGTATTTAAAAGGAATACAAAAATTCCAGGAATTGCGGATGAAGATGTTAGTGATATAGATTCCTCAGATGATGATGATGAAGTTCAGTTAAATACTGCATCTAATATTTCACCACAGTCTTGTAATCAGTATTTGCATGAAAGCTCTTTTGTCCAAGGGCAGACTCCACCTGTGATGGGAGGACCTTCTAATTACAATTACTCTCAGATGCAACATATAATGGGAGGACCTCAAGCCTTCAACCAGTCAGTGGGAGGACCTCAAGCCTTCAACCAGTCAGTGGGAGGACCTCAAGCCTTTAACCAGTCAATTGGC